ATCCTTTTCTACTATTCCTATTCACTCGGAATATGGGCGTGGTGACTTGTTGCCATGGTGCCACCCGGACACTCTGTCAGATAAAACTAGATGACGTCAAAAAAACTCTTTGAGTCTCATCTTTTGTCTTCTCTCTTGAGCCTGCTACAATGCCTCTTTGCTCGGATGGGGCTGTGTTCCTTTACACAGTAGAAATAGGGCCGATACTCGGGGTTTAATACCAACTATTTTGAAGAAGGGGTGAGCCGAGGAGGGGGTAATAAAAGTGTCGCGAGCCGCCAATGCCACCCCCCCCCTTTCGCTCAAAACCCCTCGCACCTCTTTTCTCTTAATATCGACTGAAACCAAATGCAACAAAAGCTACAATTAGAGAGCAAATACCCTCCATTGAAAGGCAACTTCCCACTTTTCACACTCTGCCCAAACTTTTGACAGCTTTTCTTTTGTTCCGTTGAGTTGAGGAAGAATCGACCCGTGGCAAGGACTGTTTTCTTCTTCAGGGGTAGGTACCTTCGTCAAAACCGAGGAGGGGACCAAAAGGCCGAGTGGGTTGTGGTCACTCAAGAGCCCCTCTTCGGGCGATGCGAATTCGGGGGCGATTTTGAATGACTTGCAAGTCTATTATTGCCTTTTGCATAGCCACATCTTGCATCCACTTTCTGCCATTTTAAAGTTCATCTCATTCGTCTTTCTGTTTTTATTTTGAATATCAACCCCGAAAGAGTCGAACATTTCAAAACTGTACCTTTAACTAGTCAGGCGTTGATTCCAGGCAACTGGAGAAAAAAATCAGTTAGGATATGCAAAGGAGGGTTAAAAAGAGTTTCAATTGCAAAACAAAGGGTGCTTCTTTCAAACAGGGTTTCAAATAGTCCTTTTCGAACTTTTCTCATGTGCAGCGAATACTTTTTATTTTTATTGAACATACACGTATCATGATATTTTAATTTTAAAAAAATATATATTTGCATGATTTTTTCTTAGAATTATAATCTATGTCCAACACTATATATTTCTTCTTTCTCCCTTTCTCTTATCATTTCTCCCCACCCCCTCTATCTATCTCTAGCTCCCGCTCCCCCTCCCTCATCTTCACATCTCTTTCTGTTTCTCTCACCTTTTTCATCTCTTTTAATGCCTTCTCTCTCTCTCTCTCTCTCTCTCTTTCTTTCTTTCTCTCTGTTTCTCTAGCCTCTCTCTCTCTCTCTCTGTTTCTCTCTGTTTCTCTCCCTCCCTCTCCCTCCACTTTGCCCTCCATCTATCTAGGAGTGGTTTCAGAGCAGGTTCAGTACTACAGCGATCGTTGTCCCCTAGTCATCTCTCATACCGACTGTCCCTCAAGGCATTCAGAGAGAGAAACCCTCTATGCCTTACCACACTGCCTCATTTCATTCTGAATTTATACACCTTTCATTCTCCTTTCTAAGGACACCAATAACACATGTCCAAATGCCCAACTGAATGTGTTAAACTTTTAAAGAGAAAGTTAAGTTTTAGCCAAGATATTAAATTGTGAGAGAAACTGCCTGGAAGAAATCGTGAAAGGTTTATTAGATAGTCAATGAGAATATCTAGTTTAAGGTTCAAAATGAAATGAAATTGACTCAGTTTTGCTAAAAGCCAATTGCACTGCACACGAAAATTGGTATATGGGACTTCGCGAACATTTTATTTGGTCCAATCTTCTCTACTATTTGTTTGTCTTTTTTCAAATATGAGGATATGTAGGAAGCGCAATCCTTTCTGTGGAGATTTCATTCTAGTTTGATATTCCCCCAAATTGACAATTAAAGAATGAAAAACGCCCACAAAGTCTTTTTTAGCATTACCAGACCTGTACCTTCTCTTTAAGTGATAAAGCTTCCCAACTCAAACTGAACAAGTAACCACGAATAGCCAATGATTGGCGTATGAATAGAAATTGGGAACCTTTATTACTGTATCAAAACTTCTTTATCTTAATTGCGCTCCATGAAAACAATACTTGATTGATTTGAGAAAGTACAATGGTGTCTGCGATACCAGGCACCTGTGTGTTTGTGTGGGGTGTGTGTTTGTGTGCGTGTGTATGGGTGTGTGTGAGAGAGAGAGAGGTGTCCAGAATAAAGGATAATGGTCTGAAATTTATCGGCCTTATCAACCAAACGACGATTTTTAATTTACAGGTGGCGAGCCAATTTGAATGAAATGAACAAATATAAAAACTGAACAGGAGCAATACACTTAGCAATTTACGATGAAGTGTCGAAAGAGGAATTGATGCAATATGCTTTTTTTTTTAAAGAAATCTCAATCAATTTTATGCACATTATTATGATCATCTCTGTTATGATTGTGTCCATGAAGATTTGGGGTCGGAACAATAAATCTCCATTTTGAGAGATCTTAATTTTTTGTTTATAAGTTAAGTCAATAATTTCATCTTTTTGAGATATAGTTTGGTTATAAGATAATCATTATTTATGTCCATATAACTCGACCTATGCGCATACCACAGAAATGGGCCGAACATTGTTCATGTTGCATTTTTTAAAACAGACATAGTGGGGTAAAATTATTTTGAATAAAACTTCCATGAGCTTCAAGTTAGGGATATATAATTCTTTTGCAGAAATGAGCAGAAATTAGCTTCGCGAAATATTCAAACAAAAATAAATAAACAAACAAACAAGCCAAACAAATATGCATCAACACCTTATCAATGTCATATTTGTTTGCATTTTTAATTGCCAAGCTTATCATGAATCATCAATTTGGATACATAAACGAAACATCAGACGATCTTTAAATTGTTCTCTTTAGCATACCGCCTTTCCAGCCCTGAATATAAACAAACTGGATAGATCAACAACAAATAAAATCGGATGTAATCATTGTTTGAACTGTATCGGAGTAAATATTATTCATTCATATTTGTATTCAATTACGCATAGCCCCTCTATTTGTACTTTCTAAACACTATCAAACAAAATATCAGTCTCGATAAGCCATCACATCTACCGGGCGGAAACTGCCTCGTGCGTCGATACAATCGACATTCACTGATTTGTTATCATAAATCAGGACCAATTGACAACACTTGCTTTCGTGGCTTTACACATTATCCGCATGTAATTTTTGTGAGTGATTTTTTTTCTTCTCCCCACTCATTCATTCAACGGGATCTAATGGGGCAAAGCGAAGGGTCATGACTTAACTCACAATCAAAGAATGGTACTTAATTGTTGGGAATATTGCCCGGGGAAAGAATAAACACGGCTTGTTGTATCAAATGGTGGTTCGGATCTATCCATTCTAACTCCATCATTTATAACAATTACAACCAAAATAGTGACAAATCTCTATTTGTATTAAAGATTATGCCATTTGTATTCCTGTATCATACGCACACATATATAAGACACTGTTATAAAAGCTTGGAAATGGGATGCCGGGGTGAGGGATGGAGGGGGGGGGGGGGTAAGTGGATTGACGTTTTGCAGGAGCGAGAAGATAATTTGTGAAGATCAATAATGCAAGAACGATTCTTGAGAAATTCTCCATGGAGTTGAAAACAAGGGATATTTCTGCAGGACAGGAGAGCATTGCGATCAAAAAGAGATGCAAGATTCATTCCACTTTTTATGAAATCATTGATTTTTTTGATAACTTCATCATACCATGTGGTAGTGTTGAAGTGTTAAATAGAGCCATGCTCTCTTCGCCAGACTTCAGAGAGAGGGGAAAAGAAGGTTCGCGACAATGAAGGGCCTGAAGAGTGGGGGAGGGTGCAGTGAGAAAAATGGTGAAAGGCACGCCTGGAGGATCGCTAATTCTAAACCTGCTACATGTGTCACTGTTAAAATATTCGAATCAAAGTGCTCCAAATCGGTTATGAATATGTATGGCTCTGTTCTGCGATCGATTCATGGGTGCAATTTGAAACGCGACCTGCCTGTGCCGCTGCTCCACGGTGCCCCGCTGCAAGTGGTCCGCCTGCGCACCGGCCGGGTTGGGCCTCTATGGCGGTTGAAAGAGAAGGGCTTGATGGAATAGGTTATACACAGCGGCTATCTTATGAAGAAAGAGAAAAAGTGGGAACAGAGAAAAATGAGATATGGCGAGGGAAAAAAAGGGAATCTCTTTGCTCGCTCTCCCCAAGCTTCCTTCTTAAGATGCTGCTGCAGCAAAAAGCTTGGATGGCTCGCTTGATATCAATGGCATCAGACAAAATGTACAACTCTGGATCAATACCACACATGCTTTACGGCATCCTTTTACACAAAGCTCCCGTATAAGTGTGAGCAAGGCGAATCAAAAGGAGAAAAGGGGTGAAAATTGCGCCTTTTTCTCCCTCTTCCCCTCTCTTTCTCAGAGCGCACCACGTGAAGTTTCCGTCCATTATTAGCCAAATTAGCCTGGAGTGACTTCTGAAATCTAATATTCATTTCGATACCGAATCACGCGGAGCATGATATCGATGTCGGCTCGTTTCTGGCAGGTAGCTCGACTTCTCGACGAGTCAATTCTCGATGATCTCCAATAAATCTTTGTTAGTTGATGTAGAGCCCATGTCATCATCCAAACTTGGCCTCGGGTGATGCCAACGTTTATACTGTAGCTTCTCCGACTCCAAGCCAAGTCTCTAAATCACATTTCGATTTAAGGATACAGAAATGACGAAAACTCTCGTCATCTGTAGTATGCATTCAAAGAATTCTGGTGGGACATTTTCATGCTTGATATGCGTTTTTAATTCTATTTATATCTACTTAAAAGACCTAATCAAAATCAACAAAATCATCAATTCGAATATTAAACATGGAGCACACGAGAATAAAGCGTTAGACGACCAAATAAAATGTATTAGAAATTATGTCTTTACATGAATTCCTAGTTATAAAGATGCTTAAACAACGACAAAGAAAATTGCTATAGAGAATAAAAATAGCAATAAACATGAAAAGGTAGACAAAATGAAACAAAAAAATCACAGGAAACTGATCCGATTCGCTGTATCCATCTTCTTGTTAGAGTTAGTGTCTAGTGAGATGATAATGCTGATATAAGATGGGGAATAAAAAGCATCTGTAAATGTATCAGTATTTTTTCATATTTGATAAATCTATACAACAGAAAGGAGAAGAACAAAAAAGGTATTATCTTATGCATGGTAAGAGGCCGAAGCCATGAAAGGCAAAGATGCAGAACCCAAGTCGATATGACTGTAACCCTGACCAACGAAACAGACGTTGGTACCTCCCCCCCCCCCCCCCCCCCCCCCACACACAGGAAATCTAAATTTGTCGGACGTTGGAGTGTATCAGTATTCTGGAAAAGAGAGGCGATAAGTTACGATGTTGACGATTTGATACTGAGCTGAAAGGTTCGTCAAACAAACCTATTTGCCGATCATTTACCAGCATGCGTTAGCAAACAGGGGCAGAATGGGAGATGTACACAAGACTCCCGAGACTTTCTAAACGGGGTAGGGCTGTGATTGACTGCTAGTATGTTGTCACTTGCAAATAACCCGTGCTTGAGTGAATGTTAGCAAACACTGAGGTTTACTATGTCGTCTGCCACGGGGGGATTAAACAAGGATGCGCGCCAGTTTTAAAAAATCGGACTTGGGTGACGATTTCGGCGTTTTTACTTTGCAGGCGTGCGCGCTCACGCACAGTCCTAAACCCACGCTGTGAACTCAAGACGAGCAAAGAGCGCTCCTCGATTCAAGCAAGTTTTTTAAAAGACAAAAAGCTTTTACCTCCTTTCTGAGGACTTTTGATGGGTGCATGCCTGGCCGAGGGATAACCGTTTTTATCACTTTCTTTACAAAATAAAAGGCCTAGAGGTAGAACTAAGCAGAGTGAAGCATCACATTATTGAAGATGCTTTCACGCACACACACCTGTGCCTTACTGTGTCGCTAATGCCCCGAGCCGACGGCTAAACACATCTCCACTTGTTTAATCTCATTGGAGCTCTCATTGAAGAAGACGTTGAGTGACAGCCCTCACATTAACACCTTAACGGACACTGCAACAAAGAACCAATAACGGTGTCCGTGCCTTTACTAAGCTATAATGCCAGCCCTCTATTATACGGAACAATAATAACGTCTTGACAACTAATTGCAGACTAATTAACGCACAATGGAAGCAAGAGAGCTCTAAAAACGCTCGCCCTTTTCACGCTTACCAGACCACTTCTCAAGTCCCATTGAATTCCAATCACCACGGCGCAAAACAAAAACCAGTGCTAATATATAGAAAGAAACAATCCTGAGAATACCACACACAAAAATAAGCAAAACAAGACAGAAATTATGGAGATATTGATGAATTGAGAGTATAAGATACTTAGGGATAGATATAGACGTAGGGGAAAGAAGAAGGGAGACAGAGATACAAAGATATCGACGAGACAAAGAGCAAGATAGCAAAGGGAGAATAAAACAAAGAGAGAGAGAGAGAGAGAGAGAGAGAGAGAGAGAATAGGAGCTGGGAACTTTATTTAAAATTCTTAAAGAATAATGGGAAAGATATTTACAAGTTAAGAACATATTTTTTGTAGTTGAATTTTTGAGGCAGTTAGTCGGCTCATCAGTTAAAGCAATTTGGTGTACGTATATTCGTTTTAAATAAACAACGGATACATTTTCGTATAAGTAAACGAGAATAAAAGTCATTTATATCATGAAACCTTCACAATGCATGTAAATTTCATTCTGAAGGATGAACGCACGATACAGAATCGATTGCGACCCTGGAAAGTTTATATAAAGATGCATGAACAAAGTAGAGCTACAAAAAGGGAGAAACCCGTGAAAAATAACGGAGAGAGAGAGAGAGAGAGAGAGAGGGAGAGAGAGACCGACTAAAGAAAGGGGGTAATTACAATAAAAGATCGGAGATAGAGGAGATTAAGATGTGAAAAGAAAGCAATAGAAATATGGAGAGAATAATTTTTTCTGGGTGTGTGTGTGTGTGTGTGTGTGAGAGAGAGAGAGAGAGAGAGAGAGAGGGGGAGGGAGGGAGGGAGAGAGAGGATATATCACATGGGATTCATTCAGAAAATCGATTTTCGTTTTGAGTAATCGATCTCGTCCCATTCTTTGAAATTTGACGTATGTAGCATACTTCTCAAGTTTTTATTAAAGACCTATCTTCATGAACCAGGTTTTTAAAATGAATTTATTGATTCAAGAACGTTTCAGTAGAGCTGATATCATTTATTTTTCCTGTAGATTCAGAATTCAGTCAGAATTATTCCACAAGGTAATAAACTAAAATGAAAATGAACAGGATGATTGATGAAATGAGGCATCAGATAATAGCACTTGCTTACAAAAGTACATGCATGTATACAATCAAAATATGTAATGAAATTTAACAATTACTACTTTTTTCCGTAATACGAGGGAATCGCGTTTAAACGTGCTTCAGGATTCCCAAACTTAGATTGTGTCTCTCATCTCATCTAGACCATACCGAGTCGTCACCAGAAACACGCCAAATAAAAGCCAAATGCAGGCATCAACACCAACATTCTGCGGGCCACTGGTACCATAGGAGTCACGCCCAAAACGCCAAAGGCGCCATACAAGTGCGCGCAAATCGGTGGGTGTACAGCGTCAAAAGCGCCAAATCGTGGAGCCAAAACCGCCATGTTATGAATACAGCCGTGGCGGAGAGCTTGTTATGCCAGCCTAATGTTCGGACCGATTCCCCGGGAGACTTCATTCACCTTCGCCCTTCTGCACTTTCTCGGGAAGAAGATCTCACCATCTCTTTCTTTCTGGTCCGTGGAATTCGATTTTTTAAACTCCATTTTATGTCAAGGTCGCTTGTATATAAATGAAGATGAGGGAATTTGGGAGTTTCTGTCCGCTTGGTGATGAAGATGGAGTTATGAAAATTCAATATAAATTATGTTTAAAGGTTGCATGCGATTGATTTTAATATAGAGGTGAAAAAGGTGTTCTACATGACACACACGACACACAACAATAAGCTAGTTTATTTTGAGATGCAATACTAGTATACCAGAGCTCAGGGTTAGCCTTTACTTTACATCATCGACAACCAATCATTTTGAACATTTGTGAGTCGAGTGAGCGTCAAGACAGCTCCTTAGAATGCTCCCAAAATGTTTTTTTGTCGTTAAGTTTGTACTTTTGGTATTACCTTAAATTTATTTTGTCTCGATTTGTACTGTTAACATCAATATGTTTGTAAATGTTGTATTTATGTCGTAGGGCCTCCACGGGAAACAGTATTTAACTACTGATTGAGCCACCCTGCTAAAAAAGACTAATAAATAAATAAAATTACAAAAAATCTTGGTTCTTCATTTCCATTTTCCTTTTCTTATTGTCTACCATCATCTTATGCTTTTCCCGTTTCCTTTATTTCAAAGCACCGTATCCGTTATCTTTGTAGCCCTTTACGTCTCTCTCTCTCTCTCTCTCTCTTCTACTCACACTCCCACTTGCACTCGTGTCGGCAACCTGAAAGCCTATTATGCCGACAGGATGCACCAAAATCCAGGTGAGAGGGAGGGAACAAAGGCGCTCAATACGAGAATTACGTAACGGCAAAGAAGAAGAAGAAAAACGTCTAGGACTGCAGAGAGACTGCTGACCATACAAAAGCTGGTCGAGAGCGCCAGAGTTTCCCCCTTTTATTACATCAGCTTGACTCAGTCTATGCCTGCCTGGTGCAATTACGGGGCGTGTAATTAATAATGAATGTTAGGAGATCGCGTGTTATGAATGAATCCAATGCTTTATGTGAGAGCAGAGCATTTTTATTATCGATTGGGAAACGAGTTATTAAGACTTTTTAAGTGTTGGAGTCCCATCTGATTTTTGTATTCATTAACATCCGCACGAAAACATCAAAACATTTTAACAGGTGTCTGGTTACTATGAAGATATCTTGAGTTTATTGTTATCAAGAGTGTCTTGTCTGAGAACGAGTAATCATGGTATCGGGACGGGGAGATATATTTTATTAGTTTTGACATCATCAATGTTTCTACGATATGGAATAACAGAGCGTCGTATGAAATACCTGTCATCAGTAGCTGATTTAAGGAGGGGTACAACCTGTCCGAGCCTCTTTTAAAACTGAAGTAAACCCCCAAATGCATCTAAAAACGTGAATTCTTCTTACATCGACTTTATTTTATCGGACATATTTTGAAATTGTACCCCTTTTTATGAAATTCGAGATTGGTAACGGGCACCTGAAAACTGTGATTATTTGTTTTGGCTTCTCAAAATTATCTTAATTTTATCGAAATTGTGCCCCCTTTTTTCTCTTGATTTTATATCAGGGGATGTCTACAGTTAGAGTTACAGTACAATATACGTTGATGATGAGATGGAGATGGTTGGAATGGACTTGGTGGTACAGTATAGCCTGACGAATGAATCCCTAACGAGATAGATGGAAGGGGTGGCAGCATCATGCCTGCCCCTCTCGATTAATCTCAAATCAAGCGGATATTAAGTGTGAAATACTGCTGCGGGGGATTCTAAATGGTTTGGAATTGGGCAGAGTGAAGGCGCTTTCGTACCATCCACATCACTCTCCCTCTCACCTCTCTCTCTCTCTCTCTCTCTCTTTCTATCCCTCCATTCTGCCCCTTCTCACCCTCTCTCCCACACACAAACACCAACACTCACACATACACACACACGCTTGCACACACCCCTTCTCTCCTTTTTTTTATCTGTATATCTTTATCTCTGTGTTCTTATTAATTGTGCGTCTATTTCCGTCTCTCTCCTATCCCCTCTCATACGTGTACCTTCTTTCTTTTACCATACACAAAATCTCCTCATAATTTTGCTCTCTCTCCGTTCTCTCTCTCTCTCTCTCTCTCTCTCTCTAACCCGCTTCCCTTCATCTCCAAAGAGATGATGAAGGATCGCATCATCTCGCGGGTGTAATAGATGCTCTTCGATTCAGGAGTGGACTTATGGACACGAGAAGGGTGCCAAGACGGGAAATGGTCCCGGAAATATGCCAACAACCACAAAATAGAGTCATCACATAGACCAGGATGATGTCTTGATCTATGCTTATTGCAAGTCGAGAGGCTAAAGTTGCGTCCATAACAGATCTTATTTTTTTCCACATTCGATTAGAGTGATGAGATGAGGAAAATTGATAATTTGGATTAGAACTTCTTTTTTAAACATAGCAAGTGTACTTTTTTTCTCTAAAGAATTCTGTCCTAACAACAAAAGGAATACCATCACGAAGATATATATTTTCTCATCGACAGATGAGAAATGTCCTATGTAATATTGCCGGAGGAAAAAATCTGATTCTGAATGCTGTGGCGCTGACTCAAATATGAGTATATGACATGTTAATGTGAAGAAACCAAATCAAAAAGAGAATATTCCCAAATAAGAATATTTCCTACAAATGCAACTGATTTTGACTATCAAACTGGTTCATCATTTAGGTCTGAAATTTTATGTGATTAAAAGTGAAGATCAATTCGTATGGCCAAAGTCCCTTATTATCTGAATCTGGTTTGGAGCTTTTACTGTCCATAAAGATCTTTACACAATTCGATTAAAATCAACTATATACATGTAGTATCCTCATCAAAACAGGAAAGTTCCAGATTAAATTGGAAGAAAATCGTATGGACGCATTTTAAAATGTCACGATCTCTTCGGCTGTTGTTCATTCAACAGCATTAGAATGGTAGGGGTAATGGATGTTCGCTACAAGCGAATGTAGAACGACTTCAGGCAGTGTCGAGAAGACACATCAATTTCTGTTATTGGAACGGTTTACAATAATACGACTTCTTGACGATAAATGTGTTTTAATTCATTTAATTCCCGAATATAAGAAAATTTGAGTAAAGTAGGCCTATACATGGACCTGACAGATCTGGTATAATTCACATATTGAAGGTGAGGGATGTTTGAAAAGAGTTCAGAGCCTTGAGTGAAACAAAGAAAGTAACGTGGTGACGATTTTATGAGATGTGACACCTGTATATTCACCTGCTAAAAACGCTCTTTGTGAACACCGCAAAACCTCTGCTTGTTTGAGAGTAATCTTTTTTAATTAAACCATAAATTCTATATATTCCTCTTTTAAAACTCTGGGGTTATATCAAATTCTGCTAAAGTTAAACATAACATAACCCTGATCAAATACTGAGTAAATGCTTTTATGAATAATGCTAATTTATCTGCATTGAATACAAGCTCAATTATTCGAAATGGTTATTTCGTATATTTCGTATATAAAGCTAATAATTGAAGAAAAAACAAGTAATCTTGCACTATGTTTTTGTTTTCTTTCTACTTGAAAACGTAAGTAAAAACTAAAATCTCCATTGTTTCTTAATTATCTATCGCACACAATGATATCGCAATTGAATCCGGCTACGATATTTACTGCTCAGTCAGATATACTCAGCCAAATGTTTAAATTGCAAAGAATAATGCCTTAACATTCATACGCACATATGCACACGCACACACACGCAAACAGATTTAATCCATGTTATTGTCTATGTGGGGACTTCGCTATATAGACGTGGAAGTCCCTCAATAGGCTTCGCACAGGTGTGGGGCGATTTAAATACAACATGAATAAATGGGGATATACTGACGACACAGACACCAACTGCGAGTGTGGAACATCCGTGCAATCCATGTCACACCTATTAAGATGTCCACTCCTAATCGACCAATGCTGCCTGGAAGACCGGGTGGCAGCAAATGAGAAGGCTCTTCAGTGTGCCAAGGCCTGGCAGAGCATTTGAGGACACGAAAGAAGAATACAAAGTGTATATATCCTTTTCTTGAACATGATATTATTTATTTTTGGTGCTTTATAAATCTTTATAGATATTTATCACAACTATGAAATTTTAGATGGTTACCATTTCGTGTTTTTTCTTTTCTTTTTACTTTCTTCTTTTTTCTTTTTCTTTTTTTTTTCTCTTCATTTTCATTATTTTAAATTCAGTTATGAGTTATGAGTTTTTGATCGATCGGATGGGTGGTACATGTACGACATTACTTATTATAGGCTCTGTATTTAAGCTTGTGAGTAATGTGCCGCGGGATTCCATATCCTTAAACTGCTGGCGAACAGAGCAACAAGACCAAGCTCTGTAATTATTAGGATCTCTGTCCAGTAGTGCCGTGTTTGTGCCATCGAACTGGGTCGACCAAATCAATTGATTCATAATATATGTATATGCAATATTTTTTCCCGTAACATGAGAGTAATTTTAATAGTTTCATACTATTAATTAAATGTATTGTTAACTGTAACTGTATAATTGTTTTAAATGGGGGGCACGCTACAAGAGTCCTATCTCGCACCCCGGGGCAACGTGTCTGACACGGCCGGTTGTAGCAACTACTCCGAAGATCAAGATTACAGTAATCTTGATCTAAGGAGACACGAACGAACGAACGCTATAACTTTGAAATTCGTTATCAAGTTCCCATTTCCACCATAACAAGGTAACATTCTATCACAACAGCATCAAAATAATACTCAAAATGAAATATACCTTTAAACATTTGGCATAATCAAATATATTTTGATAGCTGGCAATGACCTTCAGCAAAATGGTTTTATCACAATGTAATTTCACAGGCTTTGTAAACAAAACATAATTTTCAAACAATTCTTGGCGCTCTTTGGTGGCGTGTAATGGTTGAGGGATCAACCTTATCGATTCATAATCCTATGTTATCAAACATCATTACCTATGCACCACCTTTCGCTTATTTCGACCTCAGAATGCTTGTGTGGGAGGGAGGGAGGGAGGGAAGATAATCAAAGTTTGAACCACAGAGACACCTCTTTATATAACATCCATTTGTTCTGTAATGCAAGCAGGTAATCCATCATTCCAGTTTCGAGACATAGACTGACTCGAAACGTTTTATCTTAAATACAACCTGTTATAGGTATTCTGTACTTTTTACTGTCATACCTTAAGGTGATATGAAAGACGGTTAAAGGGTACCTGACTTGAGAGAAAGGTTAGATTGATCGCTCTTTCTGAGTTTGAATGAAGTCATTGATACATTTCTTTAATGCCAAGAACCCCTTGTGCATCCGTTCTCCTAAAGGAAAATGATGTGGCATTTGTAGGGATGTTTATTAAAGAGAAATACTCGGCGATTAAGCAGCACTAAGCTGCCATCGAAATGGTTAAGCTCGTTATATTTGCTCCTGATTTTGACTGATCGCCATGATTTAACAATTCACTGAGCCCTCTCTTATTTGTACCTGACACGAATGAGATATCAGTGTATCCACTCGGAAAATCAAATGAAAACCCCCAAAACACCCACTCACGATAGCGACAATTGTTGGGTTATTATCCATAGCTTGGGTGTTCTCTCTGATATCCAGCCATTGTCGAACCAGCATTGAATTTGCAGATCAATTTTGTTCCCTGCATGAAGCATACCATGGTCTGATGACGTCTTGCTCGACTTGACGCTTGGACGAAAAAAGAACACAAGTCATAAATGAGATATAGGTCAGTCATAATAATTTTCAACGCGACATTTCCCACCATTAACCAAGTACTCTCTTTAGTTGAGAAAAAGCGCCTTGAAACGACACCTATTTGTTTCTGTAAGTCCATAGAAAACGGCGAGCTTGATACGAAGCATGAGCGAGACACATTGGCGCAGACATTCTTTCTCCTTTGCGAGTAGAGCATGAACGATAATCGTTTTGTTGTCTCGCTCAAAGAGAAAAGTACCAAAATAACAAGCTCCGTAGCGAAAGATATTCAACATGTATTTCCTGCAGAGTCAAATATCATGTAGTATAGGCAAGACATTGATCAAAGATCTTGAATTCAAATAGGTAATGACTTCCGTTTCTATATGATATAGGGCTACACCGTATTACTGAGGCAGATTGTACGTCTTTCTCGTTCATTTAATAGTTCCGAACTCCAATAAAATACATGTACACATAAGGACACGGTGCATTAACATTTTTCCCATTATCATTTAACCGGAAGACTGACAAATGTAAATAGGAATCTTCGACACTCTTGTCAGCCATCTTATGCTATTTGTTCTCCACTACCAAGCATATTTATCTTCATCTGCATAAACCAATATGCCATCCATTTCATACTTGTACGGTCAGTCAACAAGCCTGCACGAGCCGAGTCGTCTGGCGTGCCTCCTCCTTCTCTTGTTATCCATGTGTGCACCCCCTAACATCGGTGGGCTAACAACAATATTTGTAGATCACTTTACAGGTGTCGATTTTGTATCAATTCTAATACCATCTTTCAATATTTGACTCACATCAATTTGCTCGTCGTAATCTGTTGATATTTCTCCTGATGTTGATTTATTAGTTTGTTCTGTTCCGATACAGGGAGCACAAGGCATGGTTTATTCTTGTCTTGTGTATATATTTTGATAAAATACCGTCTGTGTTGGTTTAGCCGTATTGTTCAATATTTGATTGTTCCACTTCTGATGTTTATGTTGACAGAGAAAAATCACAGTTGAATAGAAAATTATTTTATAAACTTAACCCTGCCATGATCATTGTACCATCTATCTCAAAGTCCCTCAGAAGATATTGACAAAAGAATAAAAAGAAGAAATGCTATAACATTAATTTGGAAATTGTACTATTATATGTGTAGTTATTTGATAAGAGGAATTGCTATTTATAACGTTTACATGCCTGCTAAAATAACATTGTGAAATGCAAATCTCATAACTTTATGGTGAAGCACTCACATCAACCTTGCGTTGAGGATTGTGAATGGAGAAAGAGTGTTGGTTATCTTATTAGTATAAGAATTCGTAGACTTCATTTTGTAAATAAGTCCATAGCAGACACGGTACAATCAGGTACAATCAGCAACCCCCCCCCCCCCACACACACACACATCCGTAATAAAGAGACATAGAACATAAAAGCTAATCGTCTCATCTCAAAACCATTCAACCAAATATATTCCTTTTGTGATCACAGTGATTGAATATAGAAAAATCATTTATAAGCGGAAGGATGCAATTAGTATAAATTTCTTTTTAAAATAATCATATGCAGTTTGGTTGTGTTTTTTCTTCTTCTCGCAGTCACGTGTTAATTAAAGAGCTGTTATTTCACCAAGTTTTTCGCAATCAATGCTAAATGTGCATGGTCATTTAATTCACTTTTGTTCTTTTTTAACCATTAAAGGTACTATGTCCCTTTTACAGCCAACCTCAAATGCTGTAGAACTTTGCAGGAATTATGAATATGTCATGTATGTACTATCTGTGAAATGTAAACGTTAGCAGTGTCCTCATATTCAAATTATGCAAGGAAACCCGTTTACTTGCTAGACTTCACTGTCAGACACTTGAGTGACTGACTGGCTTTTTTCTTCTTTGGTAATAACATACATGAAAAGAGTTGTAAAGGGTACATGATCGTTTGTCTACATCAATAACCCACTTCTTGTGATGGCCAAGATTAAACTGATTGAATCTTTGCGCAGCATAAAATGTATGACCATTCGGTACAATTGTCTGAAAATCAAGACTATTACTTTTGGGCTCTATAGCCCTAAAGTCGATTTGACAACTAATAGTCATTATTTTCCCACTTGAAGACATTTTCGAGCCCCACCTTTTTTAGGGAAGTTCTAAATTAGTATTATCTTTCAAATGCAATTGGAATTTAACTTTTTCATTTTGTTGGCCTGCAAATGGGACATAGTACCTTTAAGGCGTACATTTTCGTTTTATTTTGTCTTTATACAACTCGCAGTCTACGAGCTTGTTTATTTTCTTCTCATATTCATACGTTCATACGGAGAGACTTAGCCCAATTCACATTTATATTTAGCACATTATATGCCAAAACATAATTCAGCTTTTAATCAAATCAGAAACAGTATGAGTTTATCACAGACCTCGAAATTGATAGTGTACTAAAACCGGACCAAAGAGAAACTGCGAGTTCACAATGACAACAAGAGCATAACCAGAGCGTGAAATTTTAAGAATGGACACCCCTTTGGGCTAATTTGTTCTATGTCAGTCATAAAAAAAATCTTTTGAAAACACCAACAGGAGACTGACAGGTACAATTTTCTCTTAATTTCTTTAACTTTCTGGGTGTAAGTTTCACGGTTATTCCTTTCCAAGGTTGATTTTTCAGGGGCTGCTGATTTTCAATTTTCTTTTTCGCCAAAATCCTAGCTGATTCCATGCTCGGCTGACTTCTGTACGGTTTTGTGACGTTATAAATCTTCAGTACCTTTTCCATCATGTAATCTATTCTAAGCAAGAAAAGGAGAAACGATACTTCATTTTTTTGACAGACAGGATAGAGGATCAGTTTTATATAAATTTGTTGAATATAAAAGATGTCAAAGTAATATTCCTGTCTTTCCTCAGTTGATAAAAACAAAGTGATGAAGGTTGAACTTCGAACCATAAAAAAGCCCCAAGTAGCAGCACCTGTATGGATGTACATGTAGTATTGCACTGGACACATAAGGCGCACTTATAACACATGATGTACCCTTTAATGGTACACTCTTGAACTATTACCTTAAAGGGTACAAGCGTGTTTAAAATGTACGCGTTCGGTTTTCAAGATTGCACCCCTAAATCCTATACTCTGCCGTCTTGAGATTTTAACATTAATTTTGTTTTTTCTTATAAAATACTTCAGTTTATGTTAATGTATAGTTCAGTATATTAGTATAGTACATATTATTACGTTTGACGTTGTATATAATCAAGTTTTTTTCCTCAAAGACACTGTTTAAGATATACACATTTTATGTCCGCAATATTTGCAAGCCTATAAAACTTTAATAAAAGCGTTCAATACCACCTTGCATTTTTGTATTATGATGGGACGCTGCATCCACACTTAGTACTAAGCAAGCTATGGTAACAATAAGCATAATGGAAAGCGGAAAGAATGGCAAGAATTATATTTTGGTAAAAAGTGACCAGAAGTATTTCGGCGGAAAGCTGTTCTCCAGTTACCCCCGGTGACTGCACTCTTGATCCGTATTTAGTATTCCTTCGCGTCACTGCTCCCATCTGTGTATGCTTCAACCTCTCTCCTTTTTCTATTTCCCTTCCTCTCGTCTCACCCCTTTCTTCCAAATTCTTTTTCTTGCTATTAAATATTTTGAAGACCTTTT